TTTATTTATATTATTACTATTATTATTATAGTATAAGTCATGTGATTTGTGCTGAATTTCAGTTCAATGATAGTTGAGTCCTGTAATCGTAACTCAAGTTTATTATGTAGTAGATACAGAAGTAAGTATAATGTGAATGTAAAGTAATCATACATTAATTGGCATTAATATTTTTTAGGCTCGTACAAGCATATACTTGTGCTGGTATATTACCATCACAGTACTGCCATATTTTGATCGGCATTACTTGGTACAGTTGGGAAGATGTACACAACTACAGGAAGCTTCTCACCATCCCCATATCCATTCAACTCTGTTATTGTATATGCTTAATAATTTAGAATAATATAATTTTTGTATTTACTACTTCCAGTGGATCGTTAAATGTTGCAACTGCTACCAGTACTAGGATCTGATTGAGGACGAAATGGGGGTCTCTTGCTGTAACCACTTCTACTTGATGAGGGTGGCTGATAATTGGTAGTCAGCCAGGCCTTCTGGTCCCAGTGGTGGCAGTTCCTGGGCAGGTTTTTTATGTAGTAATGAGGGCTATTCCTTTGCCACTATCACTTATAACCTGCCTGATAGCATTATTGACCAAGTTTGTTTGGCTGTTGACAGATTTTCAGAATATACAATATAAATATTTGATAATGTAAAAAATTATTACTTCAAGTCAATTATACCATTTCTGTTCTTGCCATGCTTTCTACCTGTGCTTGTAGGTTAACTGTCTCGCCCGGCTTTACTAATTTTAATGTTTTCAGTTATAATGCGTTTTGCCAGTGATTTAGTCATGATAAGAACAGTGCGGGAGCCATTTTGTTATTTTCAAATCAGTGTGGCCGCCATATTGTGCCCAGGGCACCTCGTTTTATACGGTGACGGGCGGAAGCGATTCTATGACGTTGTGTGGATAGTTTTATAGTGCACCTTCTTCTTTAAGAGAATGAGTCTCCAGCTGCCAGCAATCCTGAAGCCCCTCCCCCTCCTCCTCCAGTTGGTATGACTCCCATTGACTGGTGATATATCCTCTCAGTTAGCAGCTGCATCAGACCATGCTACCCAGTCTTGTGGCTACTTCTTTGATGAAAGAACTGGCTACTACTATAACCACAATACAGGACTCTACTATGATCAGGTAATGGAAGAATTGTTTTATTACTTTCTCCAGCTTTATTATTTTTTGACTGTCAGGATTTTTAAAATGCTAAATTAAATGTACACGTACATGTACATGTATGTTAATAGTTATTAATTGTTAAGAAATGAAGAAAATGTTATAATAATGTTAGTACCGTAATTTGCCTTTTTTTCGTTG